AGTGAAATGTAGCCAAGCATCCAAATTGTATTAGGATCAACATATTCCTCAATTCCACTGAATCTGTGGCACAAAGGGGAAAAAATGGAAAGGCAAAGTATTTACAGATCACCTCCTCCTGCACACCTCTGGTTGTTCAAATTGAACTTCTAGAAATTAGGAAGAAACGAATAACCCATCAGATGACTAGATATCACAACAGAGGCACGAGAAATGTGAGAAACCGAGAAAGTACCTCTCCCTCAAGGAAAAAGAGTAACTTCTCTTCATCCACAGACAGTGCAATGGAACTCATGGAAATGTCTAATAAAGAATTTAGAATATTCATAGTGACAAAGCTAACAGAGATGGAAAAGAAGAGAGACAATGAACTCCAGAAGAAAACAACCAATGAGTTCTAGGAGGTGAGGAAGTTCTTTCAAGAGCTGAAAGGAAATACACATCATTAAAAAAATCAATTGGAATTGTTGGAGATGAAGGCTATAATACAGGAAGTCAAAGCTTCCCTTAAAAGTATTAAAAACAGAGTAGACCATTCAGAAAATACAATCTTATATGTAGAAGATAGAATTTCTGGACTAGTAAAATTCACCATGAAGACAGAGAAAATAGCCAAAAAATATGATAATACTATATAAGAAATACTAGATACCATTAAATGTCCAAACATCCAGATAATCGGTATCCCAGAAGGTGAAGAAACTAATAAGGGCACTGATAATCTATTCCATGAATTCCTGGAAGAAAACTTTCCAAACCTAGAGAAGCATTCAAAGATCTAGACCCAAAAAACACAAAGGACCCCAAATAAGATCAACCCAAGAAGATCTTCTCCAAGATGTATCATAGCAAGATTGACCAAAACTACAGACAAAGACAAGATACTAAGATTGGCAAGAGAGAAATGTCAAGTTACCTATAAAGGATCATCAGGCTAACAGTGGACTTATCATCAGAAACAATGGGAGCAAGAAAAGAATGGAAAAATATACTCCAAGTATCAAGTGAAAAAATTTTAACCAAGAATACTATACTCAGGAAGATTATCCTTCATATGAGAAGAGAAGCCAGGAAAATCTCTGACAAATAAAACCTGAAATAATTTACTGACACCAGACCAGTTCTCCAAGAAGTTCTGAAGGGAGTGCTATCTCAGGAAAACTAAAATCAGTCCTCCATTCTCCTTCTGGAATTTTGGGCACACATGCACATGCATCCAGCATGATTTTCAAGCTGCCAGGTCCAGGATTTGAATTGTACCACCATGCTACCTGCTGACCCCTGTTCTTTTTTTTTTTTTTTTTTTGGGAGGGGGTTTTGCCACGGCACATGCACTTGCCAGACAGATAGACAGAGAGAGAGAGACAGAGATACAGAAAGTGAGAAATCGTCCCCCAGGAGTGATGGCCATGCTGCAATCCCTTCTCCTCCATTCTCCTCTTGGGATTTTGGGCACGCATGCACACGTGCCCAGCGTGAGTTTTAAGCCACCGAGTCTGGGACTCGAACCACAGTCAACTACATGAGAGTCCAGAGACATAGCCATTATGCTAACTGCTGGTCCCTTCTTTCTTTTCTATTGTCTTATTGTGTTATTTTAATGGAATATCTTCAAGTTCAAATATCCTTTTCTTTTTTGCCTCGACTAACTAGTTTGATGTTAAAGCTCTTTATTGTAATTTTCATTTGCATTTCTAAAACATTCCATTAACCTATGTCTTATTCCAAATGCATCTCTGAGAGGGACATTTATAACAATAAGTACAGATATTTTAAAAATAGAAATATTTCAACTACCCTAAACAAGGCACTGCAAAGAAAGAAAAAACAAAACAAACAGAAACTCAAAGTATCAGAAAAAAATAATAAATATTAGAGCACAAGTAAATATAATTGAGATGAAAATACAACACTAAAAGTTGTTTTTTTTAATGATAAACAAAATTAACAATCCATTAATTATACTAAGATAAAAAGTAGACATAAATAAAATCAGGAAAATAAAAGTAAATATTACACTCATACCCCAGAAATACAAAAAGTTATTGAAGACTATTATGAAAAATGATCTTTCAGCTGGCCTCAGACTGCAAGCCACACCACCTTCCCACAGGCCCCAAATCACATGTCCTTAGACCTTCCCACCAATCTTAGACCATGGTATGTGTCACCTGTACTTGCTGACACCCATGCCATCCATCAGCTCCCACACTATCTGTACCCACCATGATGGACCAGAGAGATTAGGGTAAGTCATGGGAACATGGTCACTGACTTTGGGGATAGGCTCTACCACTAGTAACTAGTGCTCACTAGTAAAAAATAGAAAGGTGACAAATACAGCCTAATGACACATCTCAAGGAACTAGAAAAGCAACAACAACAACAAATTACCAGAAAAACTATCCACAAAATAATGAAACTAAAAACTGGTTCTTTGAGAGTATAAACAAAAGTGACATACCATTAGCTAGACTAGTCATGAGGAACGGAGAAAGGGACTAGGTAAATCAAATCAGCAATGAAAAAGGCAACATTACAACAGACATAACAGAAATACAAAAGACGATCAGGGAATACTGAGTATATGCCAGCAAGCAAGAAAACCTAGATGAGTTAGACAAATTTCCGAACATATATCATTTACCTAAATTGAGTCAGGAAGAAATAGAAAGCCTGACTAGAGCAGTAATAAGGAATGAGATAGAATCAGTAATAAATAGTCTACTAGCAAAGAAAAGCTGAGGTCCCAATGACTTCACTTTTGAATTCTACAAAATTTTCAAAGAAGAGCTGACCTCAATTCTCCTCAAACTAAATACTCCTCTCTCTCTCTCTCTCTCTCTCTCTCTCTCTCTTTGAGGGTTTTTTGCTATAGGGCATGTGTACTCACCAGAAAGACAGAGAGAGACAGAGAGACAGAAAGTGAGAAATCACCCCCAGAGGGGATGACCACGCTGCAATCCTTTCTCCTCCATTCTCTTCTTGGGATCTTGGGCATGCACGCACATGTGCCCAGCGTGAGTTTAAGCCACCAGGTCCAGGACTTGAACTGCAGTTGACTATGTGGGAGTCCAGCGGCATAGCCATTATGCCAAATGCTGGTCCCAAACTAAATATTTTTTTTTATCTTTCTTTTTTCTTAGGCATTTTTGCTGTTGTGCATGTACATTTGCTGGAGACAGAGAGTAGGAAAGGATAAATCACTCCTCCCCCAGGGAGGGTGGCCACCCCTTAACATCCTCTCCTCTGTGCTCCTCTCAGGATTCTGAGCACACATGCACATGCACACAGCATGATTTTACTTGTTTATTTATTCATTTTACATTCAGTCACTGTGTGTCATTATAGCATACTAAATGAATTTTCCCATCATCAATATACTGTACACTGGCTCAGTCAAAGATATAAGCTGCCAGATCCAGGGTCTTGAACCACAGTTAGCCATGAGGGAGTCCAGCACCTCAACTACTACACCATCTGCCAGCCCACCCATCTTTAGAAATACACAAACTATTCTAAAGATCCAAAAGGAAGAGACCCCCCCAAATTCATCCTATGAAGGCTCCATCACCTTCATCCCCAAAACAGACAAGTACATAATCAAAAAACAAACAAACAAACAAACAAAAAACTACAGACCAATCTCCCTAATGGATACAGATACAAAAATCCTCAACAAGATACTAGCAAACTGCATCCAACAACAGATTTAAAAGATAATACATCATGACTAGGTAAGCTTTATTCCAGGGATACAAAGATAGTTTAACTTACTTAAAACAATAAATAAAACACATCACATTAACAGAAGGAAAAATAAGAATCATAAGATCATACCAATTAATGCAAAAAAATTGATAAAGTACAACATTCTTTTTTTTTCTTTTTTCTTTTTTTTTTTTTTTGAGAGATTTTCACTGTAGGGCGCGTGCGCTCGCCAGACAGACAGAGAGAGAGACATAGAGACAGAAAGCAAGAAATCACCCCCCAGGGGGGATGGTCACGCCACAATCCCTTCTCCTCCATTCTCCTCTCGGGATCTTGGGCATGCACGCACACGCACCCGGCGTGAGTTTTAAGCCACTGGGTCCGGGACACGAACCGCGGTCGACTACATGGGAGTCCAGCGACATAGCCATTACGCTAACTGCTGGTTCCCTAAAGTACAACATTCTTTATGATCAAGATTCTCAGCAAAAATGGTGTAGAGGAATATTTCTCAACATAATATACCTGACATATATGACAAAATTATAGCCAACATCATACTGTATGGGATAAAACAGAAAGCTTTTTCACTAAAAAAATTGTTACAAGACAAGGCTGTCCACGTCCTCCACGGCTGTTTAATAGATCACTGAAAGTTTTCACCAATGCAGTCAAACAAGAGAATAAAATAAAAAGGCATTCAAATAGAAAAAGGAGTGTAATTATCTCTATTTGCAGATGAAATTATTATATATATTTAGAAAATCCAAAAGAATCCACAAAAAACTCCAGGAAGTGATAAATGGATACAGTAAAATGGCAAAATAAAAAATCATATACAAAAATCTATAACATTTTTATACACCAACAAAAACAGGCCAAGGTAGAAGTGAAGAAAGCAATCCCATTTACAATAGTCCTCCCCAAACACACACATATATGAGATACCTAGGAATAAACTTAACCAAAGAAGTAAAAGACTTCTACCAGGAAAATGACAAAAGACCAAAAAAAAAAAAATTGAGAATGATATATAATATGGAAAGACATCTTATGTTCCTGGATTGGAAGAATAAATATGATAACAATGTTAATTCTACACATATTAATCTACAAATTCAATGAAATTCCAATTAAATTACTTTACAGAAATAGAAAAAGATCATAATATTTGTCTGGAATCATAAACGACCCCATATCACTGAAGCAATACTATACAAAAAGAATAAAGCAGGAGGCATCTCACTACCTGACCTGAAAAGTATTACAAAGTTGTGCACTCTGGCACTATGCTCATGGTGGAGGAAACCTCAGTGCTGAGGAGAAGCAGGCCAGGCACCAAAGCACAGGATTTCTATAACTGCCTGATGAATCCTTTGATGAAATGGATAGTACACTAGCTGCTCAGCAGTATATTCACAGAACATAAGGGCAGACTGCTGCAATATTGACAAAATTCTTGAACCATCTGAAGGCCAAGATGAAGGTGTATGGAAGCATGAACATTTAAGGCAATTCTGCCTTGAGCTAAATGGACTTGCTGTCAAACTTCAGAGTGAATGCCATCCAGACACTTGTACTCAAATGACAGCAACTGAACAATGGGTTTTTCTTTGTGCAGCTCATAAAATTCCAAAAGAGTGTCCTGCTATAGATTATACTAGACACACACTTGATGGTGCTGCGTGTCTTCTGAATAGCAATAAATATTTTCCTAGCAGGGTTAGCATAAAGGAATCAACTGTAGCAAAACTAGGATCAGTATGCTGTAGGATTTACAGAATATTTTCACGTGCTTATTTTCATCACTGGCAGATATTCGATGAATATGAAAATGAAACATGTTTGTGTCATCAGGTTACTAAATTTGTGATGAAATATAATTTGATATCTAAGGATAACCTGATGTACCAATTTTAGAAGAGGAAGTTCAGAATTCAGTTTCTGGGGAAAATGAAGTGTGAATGGAATCATATACAAAAATGTACTGATCACATAACATTAGTTATGTACCATATGTAATTTTAGACACATCAATCATGTATCCATATTATAGTTTCTTTGTTTAGTGTAGGTTTTTGTAAGCTGTGTGTTGCCTTTTAAAATGGGAAATACTTTTTAAGTTATTCAAAGTTACTAATGAGTTAGACTGATATTCATCAGTGTAGCACTCATGGTTTTTAAATAAGATTAGTATTATCTGTCTATAATGCCTGTTTAAAAAAAAAGAATTTACAGTTTTTTTTTTTTTTTAATTAATACAAAGTTGTGATAATCAAAACAGCGTGGTACAGGTACAAAAACAGTCATGTAGACCAATGGAATAGAATCCCAGAAATAAACCCTAAAACATACAGCAACTGATTTTTGACAAAAGGGCACAAGATAATCTATTGGGGAAAAGAAAGTCTATTCAGCAACTGTTTCAGGAAGAAACAGATATCCACCTGCATAAAAATGAAACTGGGGGACCAGCAGTTAGAGTAATGGCTATGTCACTGGACTCCCACGTAGTTGACCGCGGTTCGTGTCCCAGACCTGGTGGCTTATAAAACTCATGCCAGGTGCGTGTGCGTGTGTGCCCAGGATCCCAAGAGGAGAATGGAGGAGAAGGGATTGCAGCATGGCCATCTCCACTGGGGGGTGATTTCTCGCTTTCTGTCTCTCTGTCTCTCTCTGTCTGTCTGGCGAGCGCACGCACCCTATAGCAAAAACCTCTCAAAAAAAAAAAAAAATGAAACTGGACCCCTATCTATCACGGCTGACAAAAATCAATTCAAAATGGATCAAAGATCTAAACATAAAACCTTAAACTGTAAAATCATTGGTCAAAAATGCAGAGAAAACTCTTGAAGACATTGAAGTAGGCAAATATTTCATAAATAGGACCCCTAAAATATAGGCATTAATCTAAAAAATAGGCAAGTAGGACTACATCAAATTAAAAAGTTTCTGCACAGCAAATCAAACAATAATTAGAGTGAAGAGACATTACTAAGAATCAGAGAAAATATTTACAAACTATACTTCAGATAAGGAACTGATAGGGAACTCAAGCAGCATTCCTGGAAAAAAAACGAGCAATCCAACTGAGCTGAACAGACAACACTTCAAGGAAGATATGTGAGTGGTAAAAAAGCATATAAAAATATGCTGAACATTGTGAGGCAGGAAAGGAATCAAGGAGAAAAATAGAGAAGAAAGACATTTAGTGGACACAGAATTAGAGGACTGTCTGTTGACGATAGTGTGTATGGTATCTTCTACTGGACTGAAGAGAAGTGTATTTATGTTGGGTAATTCGTTTTTACAAGCTGTAGTGATATACAATGATTGAATATATAAAGTAAACTAGAATAACAATAAAAATTTTTTAATTTACTATGAGAAATAAAATATTTTGCTCTTTAAAAAAAATATACACTCGACCTCCCTTTATCATAAGAGAAATGCAAATCAAAACCACAATGAGATACCACTTACCATCAGTCAGAACGGGCTATATTAAAAAAATAAATAATGCTTCCATTAAATGTTACCTTTTGTCCTCCTGAACCCCTCCCTCTCTCTATCCACTCTCCACCCACACACTCTTACACAGTCTCTGGTATTTATACTTGCAGACTCTGCTATTGAGGTAGGAGACAGGGACCTTAAAAATGTAGTTAGAATATAGGCCCACAATAGAATCGTGAAATGGCTACGTTTTAAGATGGAGACAAAGCAACTCTGCTGCTTGCTTGGGAGAGACCTTTTGTAGTGGTGGCTCAGTGATTGACCTATGCAGCATGACCTAGACCTGAAACAAAGGCTTTTTCCAGGTCCCACCACATTCCAGGAAAAGGATAAGATAATGGTTTTCATTACCCAAAACTTCTAGACAAAGAATCTCCTTAACTTCATACCCACTCCAAAATCAGAAGAAGGACCTATCCAGCATGTGCCCCTCCCCACCATGAGGGGAATGCAATGCACTAGCCTCACCTAGAACAGCCTGAACAAGGTCCCTCTGACCCAGAAAAAAAAAATGCCTTGCCCCAGATCCTCCTTGGCAACCCACTTTCTGGGATCCCTCCTTTCTTCCTGGGAACCCTGCTTTTTCTTCCCTGTCCTTCAATAAACTCCCCACTTTGCTATACCTACTCTCTGTGCCCATGTCCTTAATTCTTCCTGAGCATAAGACAAGAAACTTGAGTCTCACTGTGAGTGCTGGGCTAAATCACTACTGCACCCCCACACTCCCGCATCACTATTGTATCTTCCAGTCTTACTGTTTCTGTCATAAAGTACAGACATTTGATAAATATTGAGTGGGGACATGTAATGTCTGTCTTTCATAGTCTGTCTTGCTTTGCTTAGCATTAAATGCTTTATATTCATCCTCCTTGTATCAAATGAGAGGGTTTTATTGCTTTTTATGGTTGAGTAGCGTTCCACTATATATATGTGCCACATTTTTCCAATCTCATTCTTGGGTGAAAATTGCTGGTGAATCTGTGGTGAAAAGAGTACCCTTCTACACTGTTGGTGGGAATATAAATTAGTACAGCCACTGTGGAAAACAACTTTGAAGTTCCTGAAAAATATACACATAGAACTATCTATCATATGACCTATTAATATAACTCTTGGGTGTTTACACAAAGAATAGGAAAACCCTCAATTAGAAAAACACTTGTACATTCATATTTATTGCAATATTATTTATAATTATTTTCTCTCTTCTTTATTTTATTTTCTTATTTTTTAATATTCAATCACTGCACATCTTTACAGCATACAAAATGGATTTTCCCATCATAAATACACCATATACTAGTCCAGCCAAAGATATTACCACACACACTATCATCACCATATAATTTTCCAATTTTGAGTTTGTTAAATGTTTTGCTTTTTTCCCCCTTAATTCTCTCCCACCTACCCACCTCCATTTTCTTTTCTCCAAATAATTTTTTTATTTCATTTTATTTATCATCATTATTATTTTTCAGTTTGCTGCAGGGCACATACACTCACCAGAGAGTGAAAGAAAAAGTGAGAAAGCAAGCCTCCAGCTTTGGTACTCGAACCACAGTCTGCCACATGAAAGTCCAGTACCCTAACCACCACACCACCTACCAGCCCTTATCCCCATTTTCATAATTGTTAAGACACGGAATCAACATAAATGCTGAAGAACGGTTGTCTAGATTTTAAAAAGGTGGCATATATACACTAAGGAACACTACTCAGCCATAAAAAGCAATAAGACTGTCCTTTGATACAAAGTGGATGAATATAGATGACTTAGTGCTTAGTGAAGCAAGCCATACTATGAAAGACAGACACTGTATGTTTCCACTCAATATATAGCAAATGCATGCATTTTATAGCAGAACTGAATGATTACATGATATAATAGTAGGGAGGGCAAGTGTAGATATGAGAGACTATATAAGAGGGGTTGGACAGTGTGGGAAGAGGGGCTCAGAAAAAAATTAACAGCTACAATAATGGAAACTTACTGTTGAAGATGATGTATATTGATCTTTGACTTGATTGACATGTACTGCATGCATGCGTTGAAAAACCATACTGTATGCTGTAAAGATAAATAATGATTATGCAATTTAAAAAAAAATTAAAAGGTAATACAAAATTAAAAGAAAAATTATATACCAACATTTCTTACAAATATTTTGCAAAAATTGTCTGTAAAATACTAGCAATTAAATTTAACACTGCTTTCAAGACCTCTTGGAGACACTGGGGCAGGCAAAGACTTCCCCATGAGACTTCCATAACACAGGCAATAATCCTGAAAATAGACAGGTGGGAAAAATCAGGATAAAAAACTTCTGTACCAATAAATACAGTGAAGATACAACCCTCTGCATGTGAAAAAAATATTTGCAAACTATGCCTCAGATAAGGGACTGATAATCAGAGTACAGAGGGAACTCAAGTAGATTAATTTTAAAAAAAATAAAAATCCAATTAAAAGATGGGTGTATGAGGTGAACATACAATTCTCTAAGGAAGACACACGAATGGCCCAAAAACATATAAAAAAATGTTCAACATCTCTTATCATGAGGAAGAGGCTGTGGTGAAAAGTGAACTTTCCTATACTATTGGTAGTAATATAAATTAGTACAATCACTGATGGGAACAAAAACCTACAAATAGAACTACCATATGACTCATCAATTCCACTCCTGGATATCTACTCAAAGAATAGGAAAACACAAAGTCAGAAAAAAACACTTATACATCTATGTTTATTGCAACACTATTCACAACTGCTAAGATCTGGAACCAACCTAAATGTCCAAGAACAGATGAGTGGATATTATGTAATACCACTCAGCCATTAAAAAAGAAAGAAAGAAAGAAAGAAACTCTGACATATGATACAAAGTGGAGGAATATGGAAGATACAATGTTAAGCAAAGCAAGTTAGACTATGAATGACAGGCATTGTATACCCTCCCCTAACATATACTGAATGCTTGTGTTCTATGGTAGAAACTGAAATATTGGAGGGTATAGTGGCAGGGGGGAACTAGAGACAATAGAGGAGAGACTGACCGGTGAGGGCCAAAGGAAAAAAGAGAAGCATTTAACAGACCAAAAAAAAAAAAAAAAAAAAAAAAAAGAGACTATATAAGAGGGGTTGGACAGTGTGGGAAGAGGGGCTCAGAAAAAAATTAACAGCTACAATAATGGAAACTTACTGTTGAAGATGATGTATATTGATCTTTGACTTGATTGACATGTACTGCATGCATGCGTTGAAAAACCATACTGTATGCTGTAAAGATAAATAATGATTATGCAATTTAAAAAAAAATTAAAAGGTAATACAAAATTAAAAGAAAAATTATATACCAACATTTCTTACAAATATTTTGCAAAAATTGTCTGTAAAATACTAG